TTTCCGTCCAGTGTGGCCCCTTAGCCTGCCCCAGAAAGGAACTCCATGCGAGAATCATACCCCATTTAATGAGGCCATTGCCCATCAATCCCAAGAAGGTCAGGCCTGGCCCAGCCTGAAACTTGATGATTTAAACCCACCCCCAAGCGCTGCTTGAGGGGCTCAGAAGTGCGGGGGCACCCATCACCCCAAAAGAGGGCTTCTGTGTTCAGAGGCCAGGCGATTAAAACGGCTTAGAGCCTCCTGGTGCCGCCTCAATTAGCCTGGCGTGGACTGGGTGCGCTGCATTTCTAAGGAGACAATCTGTTTGTCCTTTGACCAGAGGGAAAGAAATCAGTATTACATGGCTGGTAACTTCAGCTTGGGGTAGCAGAGCGGTGGGGGTGCGGCGGAGCCGTATTAATTACTCGAGTGCGCGTGTGCGCTGGCGCGGTGGTTTCTCGGCGGCGTGGCCGCTGATCGGGCACAGCTCCGGTGTGCATGGGAGACGGGCCTGGTGTCAGATGAAACTTGCAATCCCTGACAGACCAAATCCACTCCTTACGTAACTGATAACGGCCGTGGCCAATTATTTCACACATTACAATACACAGAGGCCCCTTCCAGGTTTTGTGGGGTTGTAATTAGCTATGCTAATATCTCCTTTATTAGCCCTAATATTGCTCAACACCTTTTGCCATCCTGGAGCCCACTGGAGCCTCGTGGCCTGTCAGGGCCACTGATTATTGAGAAGGATAGCTTTAATCAAACGTAATTGCAGTTAATTTTTCTCTCCCACTCTCTGTTGCCAGCATCTAACACCACAGCCTCCTTGATACCCCATTAAATTACAATTAAGCAGCCTCCTTTGTCTCTGATTGTCCTGAACAACACCACAAAGTTCTGTAACCACTCAAAGGCGAGCTGTTGGTCCTAATTGCCTGCTAGCTCACAGAGGGCCAATTTACACAATACCCATGTAGAATTTAAACAGTTCATAATGTAATGGATATTACACAGGAGCCTAACACTACAATTAAAATGATTTTCATCAGATAGCAAAGCTCTGGTTAATCAGCTTCATAAAAGTAAATATAAATGAACTAATTCATAGCTTAAACACACAGAAATTGAGCTGGCTTCGAAATTAGTGATGAGGAGAGTGGGGATGGGGGGAGCTGGTGCCCTGGTTTTGGGAGGAGAACCTGGATTCTGTTCTGGGTACCCCAGCGGGACACTCCCTGTTATTTTCCCTGCTGTTTGCCCAATTCCAAAGGCCTCCTTTGGACTGGGGCTGTGTGAGTGGGGTCTGAGCCAAGGTTGCGAAGACCCAGCTTTGTAGTTCCGTCACCGGTCGTGGGGTGAGGTGGCACAGTCTCACTTGCAGCAGGTGAGTAAGTGTCCCACGGGAACGTGGTGGCCGTCGGATCTCTAGCTCATACCCAAGTGGGTGGCGCCCACCATCGTCCTCCAGGGGCCAGGTACCAGGGTGGCCCTTCACCCACCTGCCCTGGATGTGGATGCTGAGGGGGGGGTTGTCAGTGGACTCCGGGTGGGGCGGCCTCTGCCCCCATCAAGGGGCCTTGACTGCACTGGTACTAAGCGCATGCCTCCTCAGCCTTCTCATCGTGCTGGAGAACGTTCTGGAATGTGCAGGCTGCTTCCGAGCCCGCCGTCAAGTGCCTGTGTTCGGCACCAAGGTGCCGCAGTTTGTCTCTGGTTACTGTCTTCCCCTCCCGCCTCGGAGAAACAAGCAAATAAAACCCATATTTCAGGCTTGATTTCCTCTGGTACCTACTGTGAAAGATGATGACTCTTTAGGGAAATAAAGACAGGGTCAGGGAATTAGTGCCATCATGGTCATTTTGATGATGGCCAACAGATGCAACAAGCAGCGCCGTGTTCACAATTAAGCCTCGTGTGCTAATGACGGTGAGGGTTTCTGTCTCCTCCTGCCGGCAGGCCAGCGTGCACGCAGTAATACGGCGTTTATCGGTGGGAAAGCCAAAGATTTTCTGACACCGGGAAGATTTTTCGTTTCATAACAAGAGTATTCCATCCGCGGCGTGGCGAAGTCTGCAAGTGAGATATGTAAAGTGCTTGTCAGATATTTCTTAGGAAAAAGCCAATTAGAGGGTGATTGAGTCAAGGGTGGGAATTACCATTTGACTTCCAGTGACGGGCCCTCGGCTTCCTTTCTCCCCACACCCCCCAAACGCCAGCCGCACTGGCGTTTCTGCTCCGAGCACAGCGGGCCCCTATGGGCACCGACCTCCTGTGGGCTGACTGAGTGCCAGAGAGGATGGCGCGACGTGAGGCCCCTCAGCTGTCTGCCCCTGCTGCGTTTCCCAGGTGTCAGGGCTGCCCTTGCCCTGGGGCGCGTGGTTGGGACCTGGGGCTGCACAGGACAGGGTGAGGGCATGTGGGGGGTGAGAGAGAGAGAGAGGAGTCTGTGCATGTGTCATGCGAGAACATGATTGTGTGTGAGTGTGGTTTTGGGGTGTGTGCGAGTGAGGGTGTGAGGTGGGTATCATCTATGCACTGTGCATGTGAGAGTGGCCTAGTGTATGTAGATGTGTGAGGGTGTGTGATTGTATTGCATGCTATGTGCATGTGAATGGGATGGTGTGTGCTTGAGTGCTTATGATGTGGATGTGTGTGAGCGTGTGGTGTGTGTGTGAAGGTGTGTGAGAGAGCAGGCGTGTGGTTCTGTGCATACAATGTGAGCGTGTGAATGCATGTGGCATGGCTCGCGTGTGTGGTTCCACGTGATTGATGTATATGTGTTGTGTGCGCGCACATGTGTGTTGGATGTGAGAGGGCTTGTGGTTGTGTGTATATGATGTGAGTGTGTGTGTATTATGTCTGTGTGGCGTGTGCATGTGAGGCTGTGACCATGGTGCACCTGTGTGTGTATGTTTGCAAGCATGTGATGACGCATGTAGACTGCAGATGTGCATGTGTCCCTGTGGCTGCGTGTGTGTGTGAATGTGTGTGTGTCTGTCAGCGTGTGTATTGTGTGGCATGGGGTTTGTGTGAGGTTGTGTGGTGTGTGCATGTGGGCACACAGGACCCTTGGGGGGCCCTGCGCGAACTTTGTCCCACCCATGGGCCAGGCCCAGCCCCTCAAGGGAGCCCAGCGAGTGCCCGTTCAGAAGGCGCCTGCCTAGTGGTTGGGTGACCTGACAGAAGAGGCACTCAGGCTTCAGATGCAGGCTCGGGCGGCGGCCCTGCCAGGCATCTTGCGGGGAGCAGCGCCCTGGCGGTGCCCGCCCAGGTTAGCCGACTGGTAATGTGCGGCATAATTGCGCCCGTGGCTGTCCCTGAAGTGAGGCCCTAATTGCCTGACAGGACGCGGACTTGGTGGCACTCACCTTGTTAGGCCTTTTCTGAGGCCGCGCGGACGCAGCCCGGACGCAGGTGTGCCTAATTTACCTCGCTGCAGCGCGCGCCGCGTCTAATTGCACAGCGGTTGTTAGGAAAAATTGGTGGGTGGAATATCAAGTGACTTACTGTACGCCGGTGGCAGATGGCCTTAGGAGGCGTTCTGAGCTAAGTGTATAGGTGAGGCGAGCTAATAAAAGATGTAAATTCGGGCCGGAATCACGGGGCCTGGGGGTGTGTAAGGAGGTTGCATGGTGTGCCCATATTCCTGGAACCATTCAGTGGGTTTTTCTCTGCTCTGGACCGGAAGTCACCCAGGCCTCCTAGTGTCTCACCTACACACCGCAGTGAGCCTGGTCCACAGAGCCTGTTCATCTCCAAATGACCGTTGCCAGCAAGGAACCCAGGAAGAGAGTGCTGGGCTCGAGGAGGAGGGCAGACTTTGGAAAGGAGGGGGCCCTGAGCTAGGAGGCCAGGCTGCCCTGGGGAGAAAGGAGGGGTGTTGTTTGAAGCCTGCTGGGCAGTGTGTCTGGGTGCCACCTCTGCCCTCAGAGAGGGCGGCCTGCCTGAGCTGAGGCAGAGGCTGCCTGGGAATCAGAGGCCCTGCTCTGCTGCTGGGTCGGCCTGGAGTCAGGTGACCCTGGACCATCACAGAGCGTGTCGGAAAGGGAAGGACAGCGTGGTGAGGTTTGGTCACCTTGTCTTAACGCAGTCAGGACCCCTGAGCTTCACTCGTCAGGCATGATGGCCAGGCTTAGGGAGATGGAGAGGGCTCTCCCATTAGCCTTCTCTCAGCCCGGAGAAGGGCAGCACCTCGGGCCCATTCCAAGAGCAGTTTGTGGGGCTTCGGACGGTAGTGTTTGCCTCTTGGCAGTCCCGGTAGCAGTGCAGAACCACCCCCAGGGCTGGCCAGGCGGTCTGTCTTGGGGAGCTACCTCTGTGGGCACTGCCAGCCTTGCCCTCGGCAGCTGAGCGCTTATCTACTGTGTCCCCAGATGACCTCGTGACTCCCCTAAAAGCTCACATTGGGGTGCACAGAAACCTCTACACCCCGAGAGTCTTTCAAAAGTCAGCACAGTGCCCATCGTCACATTCAAAGCCTGCCTTCGAATGTGGATTTGTTTAGACACTTAAGACCCATGGGGGTTAAGGCAGGCAGACGAAACCCAGGCTGTCCCATGAAACTTGGGTTTTGGAGGGTGGCAAGTACTCCTCAGGGTGCTCTACTCTGTGGGGTCCGTGCTCAGCCAGAGACGACCCCATTTTCTCCAACGCCACGTTGGCCTGGAGTCTTGCCTGCTTGTTAGCAGCACTCGGGAGACCCCCCTGGGGTGGGTGCACACCCTCTGGCTGGGAGGCAGGAGATGGCCAGTCCCAAAGCTGCCGATGTCAAGGTGGAGGTTGACAATAATCATACAACCAGACAAATACCAGCCAGGGTCCCTCACAGGTGACTCAGGATGGCATTCCGCCCCAGGCCCCTCTCACGGTCGCCCCCCTGCAGGACAGGCAGCAGGATGTCTCCCGGTGGAGTCTCCCCTGTCCCGCGCTCCGCTCCCCCATGCCAAGGTGTCTTGTGACCATGTGTGTCTCTTCTTTGCTGACCCTAACACATATCCGTTTTTGTATCTTTATAGATTCTTTCTAAAGTTTTTCCTCAAGTGTAATCAAAACTGTCTGAAGAATGCGGGCAACCCCCGGGACATGCGGAGATTCCAGGTACGTACCTCGGAGCGCTCGGGGGTGGCGGGTGGCATGCACCTGGCCTTGACATCAATGCGGGAGTTCTCTGATGTGCAAGTGTGTGCAGAAGCCCACCTTGGGGGTCCCTGAGGGTGTGGTGGAGAACCAGGACAGGTGCCATTAAAGAGTTCAAGGCATGCTCGTCACCTATGTGGCTGGGTGTCCTCTGCAGCCCAGGGCCACGATTCCAGCGGCAGCTTAGCCGTGGCCAGCCTCGGGAGCAGGCCCTCAGCTGGCTGGTGGTTGGTTACGAGGGTGCCTCTCGGGGTTGGCTGAGACCCTGAAGGCAGAGAGCAGAGCCACCGAGTCTGCGGGTTTCACGCTGACGTCCAGGCACGGGTGGGTTCCCAAGCGGCCGGGGAATGAAAGCCTGCTTTCTCACCCCACCTCGCAGCTCCTGCCTGGCTGGAGGCCGCGGTGACGGGCTCGTGAAGGGGATTTGAGTGTGGGGTTTCAGGAGGTGGCATGGAGAAACCTAACCTGTAGAGCAGCGCAAGATCTCGAACTTTTCTCACCAAGCGTTCCGCACCAGGCCGCGCAGACCCTGTCCCTGCTGAGCACGCCCGAGGGTGAAGTGGGCTTGCCCACCAAGCTCCCAGCCCCGTGGCTCCTGGACCCACTGTGTCTCCTTCCCCTTGGAGGACCTCCTCGGGAGCAGGGGCGCACAGCCGGCCAGGCGTGGGTGCAGTCGGCGAGAGGTGGTCTTTTCTTGCCCTGTTTGTGGTGTGGAAGCGACCCTGGGCAGTTTTCATGGGAAGAGGGTTCTGGCCGGCCCAAGTCTGGAGGAGAACTCGGAAAGCCAGCCCCGGGGGCAGCTCAGGCCCTCAGTGGGGCGAGCTGACCGGGGGCTTTCACTGCTGTGTGCACCACACACGTCCCAAATGTTGTTGATGTAAACCCTTTCATCATCGGCAGTGTAGGGCCAACACTCATGCCTTGCGGGAGGGAGACCAGGGTGCCTTCCGGGGGGAGGGGGGTCAGTGGAGACTGGTGACCTGCTGGGCGCGTTTCAGTGGAGCTCCAGACCCGGACGGACTCTGAAGAGAGGCCTGTTGACCGGCTTCTGAACACCAGCCAATGGCAACGCTGCGGCTCCCAGCAATGAGATCCGTCACCCATCCCGGGCCTGGGGCAGGCCTGGGCCCTGTCCTCTTCCGTTGTGCCTGGGTCACCAGCCATTGGAGGCTGGCTCCCCGTGTCTGGCCACAACAAAGCCCTTTAGTGAGGAGGGGGTGCCTGGCCGGGTGTGTCCCAGGTGTATACTGCAGGGTCTTGGCCCTTTCGGGCCAGCAGTGGTGAGTGACACCCTGTAGCTGGGGAACATGCACTGGGACATTGTCATGCGTGTTGGCCTCCTGAGGGCCCAGCACCCGGCATCCTAAACAGGGAGAAGGCCACACCAGCTGAGTGGGTGCATCCTCTCTGTCTCCCAAGACGGAAGGAGTCTGGTGGCCGGTGGTCTTGGGCCGACTGCAGAGCCCATCACGACTCAAAGGACTTTCCAGGTTCTTTCGTGAATCTCCCTGCCCCTCAGAAGGCGTCACTGGACTTCTCAGCTCACAGAGGGTCTTCCTCGGAGGCCCGATCTTGGCACCCCAGGGAGGGGAGTTGCTGGACTGGCCTAGGCCGAGAAGCAGACCTAGAGGGTCCACCTTCCTCCTGCCGAATGACACCATTCTGGGTGGGTGGGTGGCCTGTGTGCTGGTAGACCGCGGAGAGTCTGTGGGCTCAGTCCAGTCACGTGGGTGGTTCCAACCCCCCTTGTGTATGCAAGTTCTGTTCACCCTGTACTGTAGACCAGGGCGGACAAGTTCTGTTCACACCTCACAGTGGTCGAGAAAGTGTCGGGGGCAGTCGTGTGGAGAGCATGTCTCGTGTGGAGAGCATGTCTCGTGTGGAGAGCATGCATGTCTTGTCGTGGATTCACTGCAACCTGCGATGTGTGCGATGGCTTGGGGAGCAGCTCCGTTCACTCCAGCCAGGAATTGTGCAACGGCACGAGGAGCAAGTTCTGCTCACACTGCACGGTACCCTGCAAGGTGGGTGGGATGGCCTGAAGAACCACCTTGTTCACACTTGCCCTCACCCACCCATGGGTGATAGCTCAGAAAGCACCTTTGGACAATTGCGAGGCGGATCGACACGGCGGCTGCAGCCCTGGACTCAGGCACAGCCGTCACTGGGAGTATGCCCGGGGCCCACGGGTGGGGGGTGGCCAGGTGTCAGCATGGATCTGATGGCATGTAACAACAAAAACAATCGCAATGGTGAGAGTGACCAACACTTGACCTCGGGACACACAGGGAGCGTGTCCTGCGGTTGGGAGCCTGGAGCCCTGGACGGCTGGACACACAGTTGCTATGGGCCTCTGAGCCATAACCCACGCAGTGTCTGCAACCTCAGGAGAGGGCTGGGCCTGGGCAGACCGCCGCGCCAAGGTGGCCCGTGCTATCCTTGTCATGGAAGGTTTCTTACCATCTCTCGCTTCTCGGCCCTGGGGCCCCCGCCCTTGTCATGTGTGCCACAAGTGCTCGCTCAGCCCGAGGTGGGCCTGGCAGACAGACAACAGAGAGGGCGCTGGGAGCAGGCCAGCCACATGCGTTCAACTCCCAACTCAAGGTGGCTGGATGGGGCAGAGAAGAACTGCTTGTGGAGGAGACAGCCTCATCCCTCACGGGTGGAGCAGCTGGTGGGTTTGAACAGGTCACTGTGTCCCCAAGGCTCCTCTCCAGGCTGCCGAACCTTCAGAAGTTGACCCTCGCCCAGGAAGATCCCATGTGCGTCCGGAGCCTGAGCTCCCAGGAGTGGATCACCAGTCCTTTCTTCCTGTGCACCTCTGGGTGGACTCGAATCTTCAACCTTTTGCCAGCAACCAAGGGGGTGAGCCGTGTGTCTGACCACCACCACCCCCGGGACTTCTTCTGGCCGGCCCCCTGCTGCTGATGTGCAGCTCCGTGGATTCTGACTCCCGGGGACCCTGCAGGACAGGACAGAGCAGCGCCGGCCCAGAGACGTCCCCGCTGTCCTCATGGAGCAGACTGGCCACAGCACCCTCCCAGGGAGCAGGCAGCTTTGAGTCGCAACCATTTCCTTAGCAACCAAGCACTTTAACCACCGTGCCACCAGCATCTCAAACCACAATCCCACCAGGGTGCCCAGGAGCCATGACGCCGACCGCCTGGTGACCGGTGGCCCTAGAAATGGCACCTGGAGGCCTGTAGCGGTGCCTGAGACGCACAGCACTGGCTTTGAAGCTTGAGAGGGTCCTGGTGGGGAGGACCCTTGGGATCATTGGCAGCACTTGAGGGGGAGGGTCCTTGAGGAAGCTGTCCAGTGAAGAGACTGGGGACGCTGAGGTGCCTGAGGGTCTCAAGATCAATCGCTCACAAGTGGACAAGGGGTTTCAAAACCCCAACCTCTCCTAATCCCACTCACCCACGAGCTTTGTCAAGGCCCCTCCAGGCACGCCCACACGCCTAGCTTCAGCTTTCCACATGTGGTGCTGGAGGGCGCGCCGGACACGGCCAGGCTGAGCTGTGTGGGGGACACGTTGGCTGGGGACTGTGTTTGGAAGAGGCTCATTCTTCTGTAGGGTTTTCAGTCCCCAGGGTGGCACTGACTTCAAAGACCCGCCCGAGACAGCCCCGACCGTGGCCCCTGCGTCCCTTCAACCCACATCCAGTCCGCACCCACAGCGGGCCTGCAGGACCCTGCCTCAATTGGGCCCCACCTTGTCTGCTGGAGCCCTTCTGGAAGCAGTGACCCCTCCTGGACCCACCTCCATCGCAGAAACCCTCCAGGCTGGGTCACATGGGGGCTGTTGTGGGAGACAGGTCACCGAGGGCTGTCTCTGGGGGTGGAGCTGGGGGGTGGGTGTGCCCTGCACCTCGGCCGCCCAGCAGCTGGGGCTCGGGAAGGCCGCCCTGTCCATCATCTTCTCGCTGGCCGCCCTCTGAACCTGCACACAAGAATGGGAGCCTTTCACTCAGGAAGAAAAGAGGAAATTCCAGGGCATGCCAGGATCCCAGGGCCAGCCGTCACTGTGAACTTGAGCAGGGCTGCTTTTCCAGGCTTGGAAACACGTGCGCACTTCATACTCCATGTGGCCTTTTCAGATGCAAAAAAGTTCCTTATCAGACAAGAAATGTAATTGTAAAATTGACCCGCAGATCATTGGCTGGGAGCGTGCGGGGAGCCGGGGTTCTGATTTATGAAGCTCCTTTTTGGCAACTCGGCCTCCCCGTGGCTGCGCAGGGGAGGACAGTCTCAAGTGAACCGATTTTAATTAGATAAACTATCTGATCAATATGTGAACAGATCAATCAAAGCAGCAGCTTTAAAATGTGTGGCTGGAGGGGTGTTTCAGCAGCTAATGGCTGGGAGAATATTTCTCTGAATCGAATTCACTTGTTAGCATAATAGGAGATTAAACTGTAATTAGTGCAGTGGCTTCCAAGGAGAAGCAATCATGAGTCAAAACAAAACAAAGAAACACAGAACCCCCCTCCCGCCCTGAGCCACGGGCGGGCGTGGGAAGGCACGTCGGTCCGTGGCAACTGTCCAGGAACAAGGGGGGATTCCCGGGATCTGAAGATGGCCCATCTTGACCGCCGGGAGCCCGGGAAGGGTTCAGCTCCGCACGGTGCTTTCAGATGTTGCCCTTGGTTTTTGCAGGTGGTGGTGTCCACGACTGTCAATGTGGACGGCCACGTGCTGGCCGTGTCCGACAACATGTTTGTCCACAACAACTCCAAGCACGGGCGCCGTGCCCGCCGCCTGGACCCGTCAGAAGGTACGGCCCCTTCTTATCTGGAGAATGGTAGGCACATGTTACATGACTTTTGTTTTCCTTTGAATGATTATCTGCAATGCTTCTTTCCTGTGCTCCATCCTTTTTGTTAGTTTCTGCCGAGTTACATCTGCACGGTCCCCCTGGGCTTGGGCAGCCTTCAGGGGGTGGGGAGGGCCGGCCTCCCTTTGTGGGGTAACTCGGCCCCAACTGTGCCCCACTGTCTCCCCGCCTGTTGCCGCTTTGTGTGCTCCTTAGGGTGCTTACAGCTTTGGGATGGTTTTAATTTACTATGCTTCTTCTCTGCTTGTTGTCCACCCTGTCGAGAGGATTGGGCTAGGGGGCAGGGAGGCCTGGGGCAGCCAGTGGAGAAGGGACTGTGAGGGCCCTCCCCCTGTGCACAGCTGAGCGAGTGTGTGTGTGTGCATATGGGATGTGTGTGAGGTTGTGTATGCATAAGTGTGCATACACATATGAATGTGTGCACATGAAGACGTGTGTGATGCATGTGTATGTGGCTTTTTGTTTATGTCTGTGAATATGTTAGGGATCATGTGTGCATATGTGTATACAGGTGTGTATGGCACATATGTTTATGGGCACGTGTATGTGAACACGTGTGTGCATATGTGCATGCACACATGGTTGTGCAAATATGGGGTGTGCATGCAGATGTGTGTGCATATGCATTTTGTGCACATGTATGCTTCTGAAGTTTGTGAATGTGTGAGGGAGTTTGTGTGCATGCGTGTATATGGATACATGTGCCTGTGTGTTTATGGATGTTGATGTGTATGCATAGTGCACAATATATGTGTGACATACACATGCATGTAACTGCAAGTTATGTACACGTATACAGGCATTCACACAAGCATACGTTCACACATGTGCAAGTATGCACTGTGTGTGTCTAGTTCTGGAGTCGCACAGATAGTGAAGTGCCCAGCTGCCGACTGAAAGGCACTGTCCACTCACAGGCCCCCTGGAAGAAAGGCCTGGTAATCACCTTCCTGAAAGTCGCCACTGAGACCCCCGGGCACCCTCTTCTCTGCCACCACGGAGCCAACAAGATGTGGAACCGGCTCAGTGGCAGTGGGCTGTTTTTAACAGAAGTGCATGAGTGGGTGTGTCTGTGTGTTTTGTGTGTGGTGATGTCTGTGTACACATGTCCTTGTGTGTGCACTCGTGTGCAGAAGGTCCTTGGGTGGCACCGGCGGTGAAGCACTTGGTGATGGACTGAAAGGTGGGCGGTTCTAGTCCACCTCAAAGTGCCTATGAAGAAAGGCAGCCTCCCCCCACCACTCAGCCCTGTGATCCCCGCGGGGCACGCAAGCCTTGCTCCGACACATGGACCGCCACAAGTTGGGGCAACAGTGCCAGTGGCCTGGTTCTTTTGATGTGTGTATGTGTGTTATGCATGTGCTTGTGTGTATGTGTGTGACATATACAAGTATGAGTGTGCATGTTTGCATGTGCGCACCATGTATATATGTGTATAGCATGCATTGGTATACAGTGTGTATTGTATGTATATGCCTGAGTATGTATATGTGTATATTATGTGAGTGTGTGAGTATATGCAAATGTACATGTATGTATTATATTTGTGTGTGCATATTGTGGTTATATGTGTGTAGTGTGTATATTTGCACATATACATTGTGTATGCATGTGTATAGTGTGCTTACAGTGTGTGTGCTTGAGTGTGTGAGCACATCATTGTGTGTTTTTGTGCACATGTGAATGGAATGTGTATAGTGTGTATTGTGTGTATGTGCATATGTATGTGTATTACATTTGAATGTAAGCATCAGCATGTGGTTGTGCACATGTATGAATATGGCATGTTTACATGTGTACACTGCATATATGTGTAGTGTGTGCATGAGTGTGTATGTGTGCACTGTGTATGAGTGCCTACATGTGCATATGGGTATTCTGTTTCACTGTGTGTGGATATTGCGGTCATATGCACATGTGTATATTTGCATATGTAAACTGTTTATGTATGTGTATCGTGTGCAGTGTGTCTATGTGCCTGAACCTGTACATGTTCAAAAAGTGTATGCATGTGTAAATGTTGTATGTGCCCATGTGTGTTATGTGTGAATGTGTGAGCACATGCATGTGTATGTGTGTGATGTATATGTGCCTGAGCGTGTATAAGTGTATCGTGTGTGAGCACATGTGTGTGTATACGTGTATTGCATGTTCTGTGCACACATAAAGGGGGAGAGAGCTATAAGAACAGCAGCGGTGCAGAGTGCGTGTTGATCACACATTTCCCAGGCTTGGCTTGGCTGGACGTGTGAAAGGAGAATTTCGGTGGGACAGAAAGAAGCATTTTCAGACACAAGTCGCAATGCAGACAAACTCATGCTGGATAAACACACGCCCTGGGTGTTCTATGAGGGCACCATACATACCCCTTCAAACCAGACCCTTGCTCACGTCTGACCGAACCCAGAGACTCTGCTTCTGAGCCGTTTGCCAGCGAGAGAGAGAGAGAGAGACAGCGAGAAAGCGAGCGAGCAGCCAACAGTGTACCGGGGGCCTTGGGTCAAGGCGAGCCTGTGCGTGGGGCCTCGGGCGCCCGGGACACTGTAGGTGTGTGGATGAACGGCGAGCACAGAATGGACCCAGTCTCAGAGAGAAGATCGGGGAGCCGGTTTACAGATCCGCTGTGGCCCTCAAAAATAAACTAATTTGTTTTTTCCCATTAATGACTAAGGTATAAGAGCACAAAAATACAATAATTAAAGGTCGCCCTGAGCGCCGAGCCATTAGGGCCTGTGACGTGCTGTTTATCTCCTGCCTGTGTGCTCAAGGTAGGTGTGTGTTGTGCTCAGCAACCGTCCCTAATGAGGCTCACAATTAAGAAGGTTGGATCCTCGGCCTCAGCTCGCTGCCTCCCTGAGGACTAGCGCCCGCACGGCAAGAGGCTCCGGCAGGCCCCTCCGCCCCGGGGTGGTGGGCTCCAGTCTGGGTCCAAATGCAGCCTCTTCTAATGAGCTATTACGATCTGAGAAAAGTACTTGTATTTGTTTTTGTAAGTGGCATGGAGAGGGGGAGAAAGGCATTTGGCTGCAAGCACACACGTCACCCTTAGAACAGAAAGGCCGCTCCGGGCACCTTGTGGGCACAACCCGAGTCATCAAAGGCTGTTTGCAGAAAGCAGCCTTGCAAAGGGCTCTTTGCCTTTCTTGTTCTTTTTTGCCTCGTGTTTGTTTCTCAATATTTTATCAACATTGAAACCAAAGCGCTTAACGATTGCTTCTCTCCACGGAGGCGGGAACCTCTGGTTTGGCCCCAGAAAGAGACTTGCCATTCAAAGAAGCCCCCCGAAGCCAGGAGGTGGCTCTGAGAGCTGGCGTGGGTAGGAAAAGGCACGGCGTCGTCCACGCTGGCCTTCTGTCGTCACAAATGCGCCCAACAGAAGAGGAAGAGGAGGCCGAGCTCCCGTTGAGGGCGGGGCTGGCGTCCAGCCTCTTGTCTTGTCTAAAAGCCAGTACTGAGATGGCCCTCCTAAGACAGCTGGCCATGGAGTTGCTCCCGAACCTCCTCGGCCTGGGTACAGCTTGCCACCAAGAGGAGGGGATGCGTGCTGTGAATCAGCCCACCCCCCCCACCCCCCAAACCATAGCTGAGCTTCCCCTCCTGGCTAACACCTCATTATCCAATCATCCGATCTCCACCGACAGTACACACTCACGGGAGGTTCCCAGCCGACCAATCCCCCCCGCTGCCACCCTGGATCCCTGCCACCGCACCCTGGACGCTCACAAAAAACGAGGCAGATTATTTACAGCCTTGAACACAGAGAGGGGAGACGAGGCAATGGGCTTCCCGCCGACCCCGCCGACCCGGGGCTGGCATCACCCCTCCCCTCGCACCACCACCGAGCAGATGACTCCCACCCTGGCTGAGCCCCCCCCTCCCCCCCGCCCCCACTGTGCTGGCCCTGCTGGCCCCCCGGCCTGCAGCTCAGAAGCCATTTGCATGCCAAGTGCGGTAATGCGGTTAGGTTTATGCAATAAGGACCACTGCACGGAGGCTGCGGGGCTTCAGCGAGTTAAAGGAACAGATGGCCCCAGAGAGGTAAAAGGTATAATCCTATCAGCTGGGGTATCAGCCAGCCATCTGGACATCCCAAGCACAATTACAAGACATTTTAGCAGGCAGAACAAAGGAGTCTTCGCGAGGCAAGATTAGGCCTGTTGGAGCGTCTCCGTGTTAGGGGTGCAGGCAAGGTGAGGAGCGCTGCATCTACTCCAGAGAGCCGCGATGCTGGGGAAGCTAGTCGCTTTCGGAGAGGAGACACGGGGTGCGGGGGAGAGAGCCCCCTGAGAGCACTTCCCCCACCCCCCCACCCCCACTGAGTGCTTTGGTCAACAACCTGGGCTCCACCTTGTGTCCTCTGCACCTCAGGAACCATCCCTCTTGGGGGGGGCCCCAGCCATCACACCCACCCGTCTACCTGGGGCTCTGAGCAGAAGGTACCCTGGAGGTTGTAGAGCAAGGGGCTGGGATGAGTGAGGGTCTCTGCACTCACAGGAAGCAGGACTGACAGCCTTCCAGAACAGCAGCTTCCCCCAGCTTTGTCTTCAGGCTGCGTCCCCCCACAGAGCTAGACAGAGAAGTGGGGGCCCACAGGAGGCCCCTGCGGTCAGGTCTCCGTCTGCTGCCTTGCCCAGCTCCGATGTATGCACTCGATGCGTCCTCAGACCCCGCTGGGCATCTGTGCGATTCTCTTGACTGCACTTCCTACGGAGCCCAAGTCCCCCCTCTCTCTGCGGCCTGAGCAGCACCACCATTCTGAGACCGGGCCTCCAGGGCCACAGCTGCTGGAGCAGGCCTCTCGCGCACCTAGTGGTTCCTGGGCTTTTTTTTTGCCCCTTCCCTCTTTCCCTTTTCTTACCTCCAAAGTAAATTTGTTTACTGTAATTTTTTTGGTGAATTATTTGCCATAATTGGCTCCGCTGATGAAGGTCACCCCCTCGGAGGAGACTTGTCGGTCTTTAGAGGGTTGATCCCTTTCAAATGTTCTCCGTGCAATTAAGAAAAGCAAATGTCACCGGGAAGCCTCAGAAATGAAAATTTGTACGAACTTATTAGCATGGCGTCAACAGCACCAGTGAAGGGCAGGCTCCCAGTGTGTGCCTCTGCTGCCGAGGGAGCCGCACACGCACGGAGGAGCAAATAGAACCCGAGCCCAACACGAGAGCAAACATGGGGGCCGGGGCGTGTGTGTGTGTGTGTGTGTGTGTGTGTGTGTGTGTGTGTGTGCGCGCGCGCGCGCGCGCATGCCCAGCACCCCACACAACAGCGCGTCAATGTCCCCAATGTGCCGCACACGGGATGGCAGCAGCCAGGCCCAGCCAGGAGCCCACTGGGGTGAGCCAAGTGTTGCCATTTCCTGGGGTGTGAGTCACAGGTGCAGCCCGTAAGCGCCCACGCCGTCCTCTCAAGCACCCCGTCCAGACACATAGTCTAAGGGAGTCACGGCAGGCCCATGGGCCGGCTCCTGCTGGTGGGGCTCAGTGACCACCCTTTGGACAAGGGGCCACTTCCATGGCTAAGAGTCATGGCAGGGAGAAGCAGTGGCCCCTGGGCCAGGGTCCTTGCTCTGCGCCTCATCTCTGGACCCTCCCTCATGAGACCAGGAGGGACAGAGAGGTGGTATGGGGTGCCTTCGGTCTGGCTCCTCATCCCCACCCCCAAAAAGAGCAACATTGGCAAGATGATCTGGCAGATCTTAGGGGCCATGTAGCCACCCACTCCCCAGCCAGCCCTCCTAGTGCCAAATGGAGAGTGTGGGGCAGCCCAGAGGGAATGAAGGCGCAGGGTCCTGGGGGCAGGGTCCATGGTGGGCAGAGAGCAGGCATCTCAGAGTGGCTCAGGGACAGCAGGCATCTCAGAGTGGCTCTTCCGCATGGGGACCGGCCTACAAGAGACCATCAAAGGCTGCAGGAAGGGCTGGTGACCCCCTGTTACAGAGGGCTGATCAAAGGCCACCTCCACAGTCTGCAGCCCTCAGCCTCCACTGGGCAGCCCCCTGCTGTGCCCAGCAGGCCCCACCCACGAGGAGAGACAAAGAGAGGCCCGCAGGGGGGCTGGGGACAAGCCTGGGGAGCTGCAGGGTGCACCCTGGACAAAGCGCTCCTCTCGGGCCAGTGTGTCTCCTTCCCGAGGAAAGGCGGGCATCGCCATGTGGAGTGACCGAGGAGAGCAAAGTCTGGAACCAAAAGGGGGAGAGAAGAAGCCCCTCACCCTGCCCGGGGTCGCGGTATCTGGGCCACGGGCCTTCCAGGCCTGCCTCGACCCCCTCCTGCTGGGACCTGCAAGACGGAGAGCAGTTAACTCCACACACCGCCACGCAGGACGCCGCATCATTTGTCATCGTCCCGTCTGCCCTGACACGTCATTTTCTGGGCCGGGGGCGTGTTTCCGCCTCTCTGGCTTAGTGGCTCCTGGTCTTTGCCCGATGAAACGTGGAATGGTTTGCTGAGAATACAACACACAGCTGCGGGTAGACCGATTGTGGTGGGCATGGTGGCCAGGGTCTCGGGGTGGGCACTGAGGTCTGTCTTCTCTGTCTTGTCCCCGCAGCTACTCCCTGCATCAAAGCCATCAGCCCCAGTGAGGGCTGGACCACCGGAGGGGCCACTGTCATCATCATTGGGGACAACTTCTTCGACGGGCTGCAAGTGGTGTTTGGGACAATGTTGGTGTGGAGTGAGGTAAGGTTCGGGGAGCTTATGGGAGCCGATGGGGCCCTGGGGGGTTTGAACACACTGCCAGGGGTGTGGTAGGCCCCAGGGTTAGGGGTAGTGGGGGGTGGCCCTTGGATGGAGACCTCCCGTGGCAGGCCATCAGCCGGGCTGCGTCCTCGGTGGCCGTCAGTGCCCCTCCACCTGGGAGCAGGCTCACCATATGGTGGTGATTTTCCCATGAATGATACCTTGCGGCTTTTCCGGTAAATGAGACCCGGGATCGTCTGCAGATGTGGACCCCGGCCCCGGGTGATGGCTCAGAGGTGGGATCCCAAGACTGAGGCCCAATTTGTGCTCATTGGGGTAATTACATCCCACCGACGAGTGGTCGCGCTCGCCGGCTGACCCTGAGGCTCTTCACTGTGTGGTTTCCGTAGCTGATCACGCCCCACGCCATCCGAGTCCAGACCCCCCCAAGGCACATCCCGGGAGTCGTCGAGGTGACCCTGTCCTACAAGTCCAAGCAGTTCTGCAAAGGCGCCCCCGGCCGGTTCGTCTACACGGGTGAGTCTGTGTCTGCGGCCAGAGGCCAAGCCTCCACGAGGCAGGGCACCAGCACCACCCAGGCCTGCAGCTGCCTCCCAGGCGGAGGCACTCGCGGCAGTGGGTCCTCTCCATCTGGAGATGTCGCCCGTCTCTCTTGTGAGGCCCAGTGTCAGTGGACCCTCACCTGCTCACAGATGGGGGTGGGGAGGGTGTGTGGCAGGGCAGAGGCGGCCTCCAAAGGTCATGGTGATCCAGTTGGAGAAACTGAGGTCCAGAACTGCCCGGCCAAGTGACCAAGTTCATAAGAGGCCTTGGGAAAGGCTGGTCTTTCTGGGCTCCACAAAGCCCTGCTTCCTCCAGGCGGCCAGACTCAGGGCAACTGTCCCTCCGTGGGGTTTTTCAGGCCTCACTCACTCACACAGGCCACCAAGAGGCCACCCACCGGGAAGCTGCATGCTCACTGGGGACGCTCTATCTGGCTGTGCCTGGGAAATGGCTGTCAATGTCTCAGTTTCAAGCTATGACTAGGGAGGCCTTTTAACTCCAGGAGTTTGAAAGGGACCCACTCAGGTTCTTGTACGTGGTCTTACATGCGTGGGTTATGGCTTTGCTGAGGGTCCTGGGTTGGGAACCGTGGGATGTGGGCAGTGGCAGTCCTGGCCTGTCCAGGCAAGTCTGGCTTGGCCTTGGGCTGTGGTTCCAGGTCCTGTCCACTGTGAGATGCAGGCTCCTGGCTGTGTCTCGTACCAGGAGGGACTGATTGAATGGAAGAGGGCTGGTGAGTGTGGGCTCACCGGGAACACTCAGTCCCAGGTCACATGCGGATAGGGTGGGGCATCCCGGGGTGGGGGGTAGGTGCCTGCTGTGAGGCCAGCACCTTGCACTCTCCACAGCATTAGGCCCACCCTCAGGGACCATGCTGCACAATGCGCTGTACCTCACAAAAAGCAGAGAGGTGATGGGGCGCCCACCTTGGGTCTGGCGTCTGTGGCATTCTGGGAAGACCAAGGGTGGAGAGAGGCTTGACCTCGTGTCCGGATACACCAGAACAGGGCTATCGCAGTCAGAAGCCTGCACGCAGCCTCGGTGACGCAGCGGTTAAACCACATGTCTGTCCACCAAATGGTCAGAGGTTCAAACCCGCCAGCTGCTGCATGGGAGAAAGATGAGGGCGGTTCTTGGTCTTGGAAGCCACAGGGGCAGTTCTGTCTGTCCTGCGTGCCATGTGAGTCAGGGCTGATTGGCACTCGTTCTCGTTTGTTGTGTTGAACTGTTGTCGTCATGGGGAAACCAGGAGGAACCCTGGTGGCTCAGCGCTCGGTTGTGAACCGGAAGGCCAGTGGTTCAAACCCACCCACTGCTCGGTGGTAGAAAGGCGAGGCCGCCTGCTTCTGTAACGGTGTAAATGGCGCAGTGATGTCAAGCCACCCCGGGAGCCCAGCAAAGGCACTTCTCCGTGGTCCTGCCCAGTGGCTCTGAGTTAGAACAGACCTGCTGGCAGTGGGGTGTTTGTGTGAGTGGTCGGCTGAGGACAGCAAGGTGAGCAGCTGTGAGGTAGAACGTGCTGGTGACTGCTTCCATAGACTGCCTCGGGTTCACCGAGGGGGTGGGGGGTGGGGGAGGTTGTCTGTCAGCAACAACGGCACTGGGTGTGGTGCCTCAGTTTACCTGTCCACATGCAGGTGTTCTTTGCTCTGGGCAGGAGTGCTACTGGCATGGGGACCAGGCTGCATGGCGACCTGGGAGACCCAATCCACCCTATGTCCCGGGGTGGCCCCTCTGAGCACCCCTGCTGCAGGGCCTCTCTGCAGAGACGTTGGTCACACCAGACCCAAGGGGACCGGGGACAGACAGGGCTCTAGTTCAGGTGTAGTGAGGGGACTGCAGCGACCCAGGGTTGCTGCCTGCCCCCTTCCCCCTTGAGTGTGGTCTGTGGGCTCCCCGAAATTCATGCCACAAGCCCGCTGTGCTGCACCTGCCGCAGAAGCAAGTGGTCAGGAGCTGCCGCCCGAGCACAGCAGACCAGGCTGTGGACACCCACAGGGTTTCATTGCCTGATTTTCCAAAGTCGATGGTCAGGCAGGCCTTTCCTCCTGGTCTCTCGGGGGCAGGAAGCTCCCTTGAAATGGTCACCATCATCCCACCAGCCTCCCCATGGCTGTGGCTGCGCAGCTTCTGGTGGCACCAACCGTGTAGGTGTTGGCCGCTCACCCAAAGGCTGGAGGCTGGAGTCATTCAGAAGAAAAGCCTGGCAGTTGAAGCACCCGAAATCATCAGCCAGTGAAAAACACTCCCCTACATCACAGTCTGCTCTGGTGCCCACAATATGGCCAGAGTCGGGACCCACCAGCTAGGCATTGCATGGGGAGAGCCGAGCTCTTGTGACTCCAGTGTGCCCTGCAGGTGGCTTCCACATGCATTTGTGCCCTGGATGCAGAATGGCCCCCCCACCCCGCTGTCTGCTGGGTGGGGTATCTTTCGGGTATGGGTTGTGGGGGGACATCAGGAACCAGCACGCTTGCAGTTATGGGCGGGATGCCTTCTTCCTTTCAGAGGAGAAATGGGGGACAACACAGGCCCCGGGTTCTGCCCAGAGCTTCCCAGGGTCCCAGGCTGAAGGTGCTTGTGGGAGAACCCAGGGGTCCTCTTGCTCTGTGCTCGGGCAGCACAGCCTCCAGGCCACAGGCCCTGGCCTCTGTCTACTCGGGAGGCAGCTTATTCAAAACCCACTTGGCTTGTCCAGTGGGCCACAGGGTCCCCACTGACGACTGGTCTGTTCGACCTCCTGCTCGTGTCCTGGCTGTCCACGGCTTTGGGGACTACCCTTCAGAAGGTGCCCACGGCCCGGCCTTCTCAATGCTGCTATTGAGTGAGTTCTGCATTCCCTGCCCCCTGCACCCCACTCATTACCAGGAATATACATTTCAAACAGCCCTCCGCTAGCGGGGCCAAGGCGAGGGGTCACCCCCTGTCTGACCTGGAAGTGCCTGTCTGATTTGCACGGCCCTGGAGTTGATGGGGCAACGAGATAATCACCATGAGGCCCTCCCCAATGAAAGCTGAGCACCCCCCCGCTCCAGCGTCCTGGCACCGATCAGCCCCATGGGGAGGGAGGCCCTGTCCCCTGGGCGTCTGCTTCCCATCAATGTCCCTGGGCTCCAGAGGCTGCCGGGACACCCTCATGGTTAACCTTCCCGGCGTGAGGCCGGCCTAGGGGCAGCCAGACCACGGGATAATGACCCCACTGGGTGGAGGCAGGCGGGCTCCACCCAGTTCTGTGCCCCCCCTCCCCCCCCCCCCCCTTCCCCAGCCCACTGAGGGCTGTGACGACCTGCAGCAGGCACCATGACCAGTTTACAAGGCTTTGAAGAAAGATCCGGGCTCCCAAGTCCAGATCCCGGGAGGCAGGCGGGGTCCCGGTCCATCCATGCAGGCTTTTTGCTGGTGCTTCCAACTGTTGTAAAGATACAATTACCCCAGGACGCAGTGGCAGCTCAGTTGATTAGCACGGTGAATTAAAAGAATGAGTTACAAACGGCGTGTCCGGCACGAGCATACTGGTCCCCTTTGTACTCCCAGCGTGCCTCACCCCTGCTGTAAGAAGGTCAGAAATTAGAGAGAGGGAACATGTTCAAGCAGCCAGCACTTAGGAGGAGAATTAACAGTCGCTCTGTATGTAAATGCTCGCTCATAGTAAATTGCCTTCCAGACTGTAAAATGCAGTATAAACTGGTGGGCACCTAAAATTAAATTAATGAGATATTTTCTGCATTTAAAAGCGAATCGTGCAAATTAATAACGGAGAGCGGTGTTTGCTCTAATATTTGTCCAGTAGTGTGTCACTCACTCGTCTCGTCATCCTGGAGACAGTCCCCGCGTGGCTTGCCCGCCCGAGGCGCCCGGCGTAGAAGCCGGTCGGGCCTGCGATGCCACACTCTCCCACTTCACCGGTGGAAAACATGTCCAATTGTGAAGAGTAATAAAAGGAATTATTTTTTAATTAGAATATAAGCATTCCAGTGTGATTTGATTAAGACAAATTGGAATTTGTATGCTTCTAATTGAAGTTATGTCATAGCGCAGACCACTTTTGCAGAGGCCTGTGCCAGTGCGGGGGAGGCACCGGTCCTGCCACATGGGAGGGTGCATCGTTTTCTTCAGGCCCCCCCCCACCCACTTGGCAGGCAGAATGGCTTCCTGTTTAGCCAGCGCACCGGACCCTGAGCCGTGGCTTTCACAGCTTAAGGGGGGGTCATTTTAGGGGATCCCTGTCCATCTTCTGCTCCCCCAATGTTCAGCTGGAACATTGTCATATTGGGGAGTTCTTTTGCTCAATGAGAGAAATGGTCCCAAGTGACCAGAAAAACCATGTCCTCCATGGCACATGGAGCCTAGTCGTTAATGAGGCCCTGCCCGGGGCCATCAGCACATGGACCCCAGGGCCCTGGACCGCTGGGGCAGGGGCCCTTTCCCAGCCCGCCACATCCTGACGAGATGGACACCCCACAGTGCTGATTTTCTGCACAAAGATCGGCATTTCGTTTCTGGCTTATGAAGTGGCTCGGCTGTAATGGCTGATAGTTTGTGCTCTTCTGATTGGTCCCTTAGACTGCTCTTTGGGGTTTTTGAAAAATGAGGGTCAGCCATGTCCCCCACCCCCAGCCCCCTAGGCCAGGCGCTCCTACTCCGGTGCCAGCAGTGGCTTCTGTGTGCATCCGAACGTGGTGCCGTCAGTAGTGCGGTGACACCGTGGGTCGATCATGCCCTTCGACCACAGCCGGCACCAACGAGCTGTCGCCCAGGCTGGTGCACTTCAAACAAATTACTTGTATCCACGGAGCAAATGGTTCTTAATTGCTTCCCACAAATCATGCTATTTTTACTATGCGAAATGCCAAGTCTCCCCTCCCTTCAATGCAAACCACCTGATTCTTCCCAGGATCAAGCCTTGACCACCAGGAGGGGATGTGGTGGAGACAAAGGCTTTAAGCGCAGGCATTAGAGTTTGGGGACCACTT